ACCACCACATGGATGGCTCTGTTTAAGCGCTGACGCGTCAGTCTCACCATCTCATGATATTGCCACAGCTGGTAGCGTGATTCGCGACGACAACAACGATTGGATCCTTGGTGTTATGACCACTCTAAAGTCAGAGCTCTAGAGCATCCCCATTGGGTTACAGGTAGTCTGGTCGAATTGAGTTACACAGTTACAAGTTCAATCGGATAACAAACAAGCTATTCACCTTATCCTCGATCATGAAGCAGTCCGTAGCTCTCTGCACCTGGTTCGCATAATCTCCACTTTGCGTAGTCAGGCCTGGCACAATGAATTTCGATGGATTCCAAGAGAATGTAACACGGTGGCTGATGGCATCTCACGACTTACCCCCTCATAGCACTTCAAGCTATCGCTTCTCCATGCTCCTACAGACCCAATCAAGAACCTGTTAAAGCATAATGTGGAAGGCCCCCGTATTCTAGAGCTGCTAGACTTTAATTTCTAGTTTGCTTCTCTTTCAATTCAAAAGAAAATATTTTTTTCGTAATTTTTCTAAACCATTGATAACGTGTGCATACTCTACAACAGATATGCTTAAACCCTCAAGAAAGAACAATACTTGTTTTAAGTACTAAGACCAATTTATGGATTCTTTTATTTATATATTTTTAGGTTCAGACTGTACAATATTTATACAAATAGAAGTTGACTTTTTTTTTCAATTTCATAAAATCTGTTCTCTCCCAAAAATTAAGAGCTAATTATTCTAACCTAAAATAGAGCATAAATCATAATAAATACATAGGAACAAAAACTATATCCATGAAGTGTTTTCTCTATTTGATCCAAACTCTCCTTTATTTTAATTTTATTTGGAAAAGACTAGGGGTGTTCATTCGATTAAAACGGTGGCCGACCGAACCGAATTAACCATAACCGAATTAACCAAACTTTTTTTTTCTTTAACCGTTAACCGAACCGAATTTTTTTTCGAACATATTAACCGAACCGAATAAATTTCGGTTAATTTCGAATTAACCGAATTTTTTTTAAAATTTTCTAATTTATATAAAAATTAAATATTTTTTAATTCAAAAAAAGTTTATAATTAATTTAAATAATATATAATTATAAAATAAAAATTTTAGATAATTTTTTTAATTAATTAATATTGATTTAAGTTTAAAAGTTATTAGATCTTAAATTATTAATTGGGTTTTAAATGGTTTGGGCTTAGCCCATATGTTATATATAATATATTTAATATTTTTTAATTAAAAAACAGTTTACAAATAATTTAAATAATATATAATTATAAAATAAAAAATTTATATAATTTTTTAATTAATTAATATTGATTTAAGTTTAAAAGTTACTAGATCTTAAATTATTAATTGAGTTTTAAATGATTTGGGTTGAACCCATATGTTATATATAATATATTTAATATTTAAAATTTAATTTCGGTTAATTAACCGAATTCGAACCGAATTAACCGTTAACCGAATTCTCAAAATTTTCTTAACAGTTAATCGACCGAACTAATTCGATAACCGAACCGAATTAACCGAATTAATTCTATTCGGTCGATTAACCGAATTAGTTCGATTATTTGAACACCCCTAGAAAAGATCAGTCATTGGTATGATGAAGGGAATAATTGGTGGAAAGCATTTTTAGTTATAAAAGTAGGAGATGAGCATAAACATCAAAAAAATATATATATATCATGGCTTTTACTCAATAATGCTGCTCATAAATATCTTAATACCCTTCTTTATCAATTTGTTTTTATACACACAAAATGTAGCTTTCCTTTGTCCTTTTCTTTTTGGGTCAGACACACTGCAATTTAAGGGTTAGCCTTTTTGGATTTGGACATGCTTTGAGATGTAGGGTCCGAAGGCATAGAGATAGAGTTTGGGGTTGATGAGACATCATCTTATAATTTTACGGTAGAGATGTTAATATAAGAAGTTATAGCAAAAATTTGAGGATGCAAAATTAAAAAATTAATAGTACGAAATTAGATCATTAATAGAAATTATAAACAACATTTAAATTATAGGTGAATTTAAAATTTTTAGGAGATGAGATTGCATCTCAACGTCTCTCAATCCATCCCTAACACTTCAACAACGAGACCTAACCTAAATTTGAGGAAATTAAGTCCTTAATCATGAAGACATTGTAGCCTAAGTACCCTTCCCCTAAAGAAATGAATATTCTATTAAGGGAAAGGAATTAGAAATGTGGCAATTGGCATGGGGTTTTAGGTGATGATAAGGAGTGGAAGTTGACCCCTTTTCTTTATTACATAAAAAAATACCCACTTTGCGTGGCATCTAAAGATTCAAAATCCATTCTTATCCAAAAACAAAAAATAGAACTTTAGTATAAATATTTTATTTTTATTTTTTAATAAATCTGAGGTAAATATAAAATAATATTTGTTCAAAGATTATCAATTATTTGATTAGATTCGTCTCAAACTTTTCGAGACCCTGAGCGAAAGTTAAAAATAGACCCTTATAGAATGAAAATATATTCTATTATTTTAAACAATTAATTTAAATATCATAAAAAAATGATTAATCCTTTTCGACGTTAGTTTCATTGTTTCGTTAAGATAACACCTTAAATACGTCTACGAGATTAAAAAATGGAATGTGGGTATGAATTATGATATGGAGCTTGATTTTTAATAATAACTTAAAAAATAAAAAATAGCATATTATGTTATCGTTAGATTGAGATTGGATAAGACTAAGAGTTGAATATTTAGTAAATTGAAAAATGACATTTGTAAAAAAAAAGAGACAAATATGATTAAATTTAATTCAAAACTAAATGAATTAAGGAGAGAGATGGAGAAATGGATGATAAATTGAGAATTTTATGTAATTGGAAAACAATTAGAAGCCTTAATTATAAAGGTATAAATTGAGATTTAAAAAAATAGGGGCCTCAATTAAGATATAATTGAGATTGAAAAAACTCAGGGGCCTCTATTATAAAGATGGAAATTTAGATTGAAAAACTTAAGGGCCTCAATTATAAAGATAAAAAGTGAGATTGAAAAAAAAATTAAGTGCATCAATTATAAAGTTAAAAAATTGAGACTAAAAAAGTAGGGGCCTCAATTATAAAGGTGGAAATTGAGATTGAAAAAACTTAAGGGCCTCAATTATAAAGTTAAAAGTGAGATTAAAAATTAGGGCCTCAATTATAAAAATAAAAAAGGGATTGAAAAATTAGAGACTTTAACAATAAAGATAAAAAGTGAGATTGAATAAAATTAAGACCTCAATTATAAAAATAAAAAATAAATTTTAAAAATTAAGGACCTAATTATAAAAATAAAAAAAGATAGCCTTAATTACAAAGATAAAAATGGGGCATCTGAGCAATTGCTCAAGGTGCTTCCCTAATAACCGGCTCTATATTTGATAATGAATACTCATACTTTTATATATGCAATGTTTGAACTCAAAACTTAAAAAGATAATAATAATCCTTTAATCACTTGAATCTACGATCCAAAATTCATTCTTATCCAAAGATAAAAAAAAGTAGAAATTAGTAAGAATATTATAAAATATTCTTTAATGGAACATTTATAATATTATTGTCATATATATATATATATATATATATATATATATTAAAAGTATGATAGTAAAGGTATCAACTTGGTAACGCAGTGATCATAAAACTATAAATAGAATATAATTCAAGGAAACCCTTTGTGTTGGTAGTAGTAGCAGTTTGCCATATGAAGGGGCCAGTGAGAAAGACCAGGCGGTTCGGTTATAAAGTGAGAGTGGAGTAGGAGTCACTGATTCACTAGACCCCATCCTCTATCTATTTGGTGCTATTGCATATGTAAAACTGAATATTAGGCGAAAAAAATTATTTATTGATTTTGATTTAATATTAAAATTTTAACTTGATTTAATTTAATAAGTAATTTTATAATCTCTATTTAATAAAAAAATTTAAATAAAATTTGAGTTACAAAATAAAATTCGAATAACTCAAAATTTATAATAATCAGTTGATTAATTTTTAAGTATGAGTTGAGTCTTTCAACTTTACCTAATACATATACATATATATATATATATAATTATAAAAATCTGTTTCAATTTAAATTATTTAGTACCATAATATTATAATTATGGGTAAAATATATAAATAGTCCTTGCATTATATGATATTGCTTTGTTGAGTCATTCGACTATTAAAAGTTATAAAATGATCCCTGATTATAAGATGCTTTATTAAGCCCCTCGACCATTAAAAGTTACAAAATGTCTGTTCAACTATTTATATGTTCCAAACTCATCATTTTTCGTTAAAATTTTAACGATCTTTTGAGCTGGACATTAATTTGTTGATTAGATATGATAAAATCATATTTTCATAATGTCTACTGACATCGTCGTTGCTTTCAAACTCTGACTTGACACCATAATATTTTAAGCATTGTCTTGACAATATAATGTAAATGGAGAGTTGATCCACAAAATATAACTTAAACGATTATAAGATAAAATTTTATCATATCTTAGTCAACATATTAACGTCCAACTCAAACATCTGCCAATATTTTAACGAAAAATGATGAGTTTGAAACATATGAATAATTGGGTGACCATTATGTAACTTTTAATAGTCGGGAGACTAAAAAAAATAACGTCTTGTAATCGATGATCATTTTATAACTTTTAATAATTGAGAGACTAAACAAAACAACACCTATAGTCGGAAAATCATTTATATACTTTACCTTATAATTATTTACAAACAAATTTAAATAAAAACTTGAATAACTCAAATCAATTCAAAATGTATGAACTTAAAAAAATTAAATAAAATTTTAATTATAAAATAAGATTCATTAATTCAATTAATTTAAAATTCTTTAACCCAACTCAATTGGTTCTATGTCACTATCCCACATGCTAAAAAGACATAGCTTGAAGAGAGAGAGGTTAGGGCATGAGGGACAAAATTTTATGTAGCATGAGAAAAGAGTTTCTGATATTAACACGGTAGCAAGTGTGTTGTAATCAATCAGGTCGGTTTCTTCACGTTGAAGTAGAGGCAGAAAGTAGAGGAAGGAGACAGCCATGAAAGGATCAAAAGGTTTGCAAAGACAGAAGAAGATTTATCTGACAAAAAGACTGCTCCCCCTTTATCTTATTTCTATTTAGATCCCCCACCTTTCAACCGCAAAGCTTTCATCTTTTTTCTTTCTGCAACACAACATGTTTTGTTTTAGCTGTGTCTGGTTTGGACGATGGTTTTAAACTACCCTAAACAAGTCTTGCATGGCGAACCATCATCTTCCTTACGAAAACGGAATGAATGTTTCCACAAGTTTCATGTCTGTAATTTTCAATTCAATCCTCGTTCTTTTTCTTCTTTCAAAAATGACCTTCTATTTGTTTTCTGTGTTCCAGCAACCAAGAAGAGCCAGCCCTTGATTTCCGAGAGCTAGAAGAAGCCATTGTCATGCAAGGAATGAAACCAAGAGATGAAGAAGAAGAAGAAGCTAAAACAAGTAAAGATCTTTTTTTTCATTTAATTTTTTTTCTGACGCTTGCTAAAAGCACTTGATTGGTGTGAACCTACAAACAAAGAAATCTTCACCTGCCATGCCTACCAACATGTTCATTACTCACTCCATAACTGTATAAAAAAGAGAAGATATTGCTTGTAGCTTTGAAAAAATCCTCTGAGATTTTTCATTTTGGGATTCTCTGATGCTTTATTAACAGCAGGCAGAACTGCAGCAGGAGCTACTTTGAAGATGTTCCCTTCTTGGCCTATCAGATTTCACCATACCCCTATTGTATAGTCCCCTAATCCATATTTTTACCATTTTTTGACCATGTGTTTGGATTAAAAAAAAAGGTTTTTTTACAGTGTATCAGTTAAAAAGGGTTGTTTTTGTGTTCATTCTGAATCCAGGGGAGTTCAAAATCAGGAGGAGAAAGTACAGTTTCTTTTTCTTCTTCATATCATGAAGCTTTTGACCAACACCATCTTCATCATCATCAACAACAACAAGAGATGGCAAGTGATCCTTCAACAACACTGATTCAATCATCAGATGCCATTGCAAAAAATCAGCAAGACAAGGTCCTTAAAACTACAGTTCATCATGTTTAAATTAGTAATTTAATCCCCCCATTTTCTTTCGTATCCCAACAACTCAGGAAATTATAAAGTTGGTATCAGTTTTTGTCATTATTACTGTTTTGATCCTTTTCTTCTTTTCTGTATCTATGGTCAAACACCTTCAGAAAATCAAAGGGTACAGAGTTTTTCTGATTCCTGAACGATTTTCTAGTAAATATCTGACATGAAAAGAGAGATAAAGCTGAACACTTTGAAAAGAATATATATATATATATATATACACACACATATATTAGTCTTTTTTTGTCACTTCGGTCAATAGCCAAATACCTATAATTCACAGAAACAATGGCCGGTTTTGATGATTTTTGCTACCTGTATAACGTTCCTGATTACCAAATAGAAGAGCAAGTCTCTAATCACCATCAGCAATCTGGAACACTTCCCATAAATTTTGTGAGCTCTTCATGTTCTTTCAAAAGTTCTATTTTTTTATCGTAATTTCGTTTTAGAAGAAACAAATTCTGGTTTTGGTGTCTAAACTCGATTGTTTATACTTTATAAATTGTATGTCTTGTCAAATTTTCCAGCTTACCAAACAAGAGCGAAATGCTCTCATTTTCCTGACCAAGTCTTTGGTCTGTGCTTGATAAGAATCTTTTAAATCACCAACCGGCAACCACATCCCTTTCTTTTATTTATTATAATCAAATACGAAAATGGGTATCATTTCACCTCATTAAACTTCTGCAAATACATACCCTTTGTTTCTGATGTTGCAGAAAAAGGCTTCAACTTCTGAGAAACAGCTTCATGCCAAGGTTTTTTTTTCCTTTTTCCCTTTTAGTTTCTTCCTGAATAAAAAAGGAACTTTTTTGTGTTAAAATTGTTGGTTTTTGCAGACACTAAGGCGTTTAGCTCAAAACAGAGAAGCTGCACGCAAAAGCCGTCTTAGAAAAAAGGTAAAATCAAAACATTACATACAAAAGAAGAAGAAAAACATTTGCATGTAGTTTCTTACTTACGTGTACATAACAATGTTTAAAACAGGCATATGTTCAACAACTGGAATCAAGTAGAGTAAAGCTAACTCAACTTGAACAAGAACTTCAGAGAGAAGGATCTCAGGTTTTCTTTTATCTTTCTCATCATTATTCATCAATATATATATATATATATATATATATATATATATATATATATATATATATATATTTCTTTTGTATGCTTAGACTTTTGGGTTTTCTGTGTAATAGGGAATTCTATTGGCAAGTAATGGTGGTGCTGCTGGAAATATGAACTCTGGTAAGTTTCTAAGCAAAGAAAATTGATGTTGCAATATCATAATAAATAATATTTTTCATTCCAAGCAATGAACGCTTCGACGAACACGTGATTTTTTGTTAGGGTGTACGAGCCTAGAAATTTATATTAGAAATATAAATGTAAAATTATATTATTGATAAAAAATATAAAGAGAATACTTAAATTGTGCTGAAATTTGCAACCCTACGTGTAATTTGTTGAATGATTGATTTGGGAAGTTGGTGTAGGTGTGGCAATATGTGACATGGAATACGCAAGATGGTTAGAAGATGATGAGAGGCATGTGTCGGACCTTCGTACCGGGTTACATTCCAACCTCTCCGACTCTGACCTTCGATTAATTGTTGACGCTTACATTTCCCATTACGATGAAATCTTCCGGTTGAAAGGAATGGCTGCCAAATTAGATGTTTTTTACCTTTTATCCGGAATGTGGACCACTCCGGCGGAGCGATGGTTCCTTTGGATGGGCGGTTTTAGGCCGTCTGAGCTCATCAAGGTTTTCAAACCTTCCGAAATGCCATCAGTTTTTTCAGCTTTTAATGTCTCGTCCCATTGGTTTTAAAACCATATGTTTTCTCAGATGTTAATATCACAATTGGACCCGCTAACGGAACAGCAACTGGTGGGGATTTACAGCCTCCAGCATTCGTTGCAGGAGGCGGAAGAGGCACTCACTCAAGGCCTGGAACAGCTCCAGCAGTCTCTAATAGACACGGTTGCCAGCGGTCTGGTCGTCGACGGAATGCAACAAATGGCTGCTGCATTAAACAAGCTGGCCAATCTTGAAGGCTTCGTTCACCAGGTAACATTTTCACGTACGGTTGTCCCAGTATCTTCTCGATCCATATCTGATTATATGGTAATCCAAAATAACGTTACTATCTAGTCTATTTCATCTCATTTTGTTGTCTTGTATGATTTATCTTGTTTTGCGCCGCAATTTTATGAAAGGTAAACAGTCTTAATTTTAACCTATGATATCATACTACCATGTTGCTTATAAATCCTGCAATTGGACAATATATTATGATATTTATGGCGTACATGTTGAATTATGATGGATTTCGTGTTTGACCATTAATGTTAACAGGGGACATATTCAACTTTATAATATATAAATTGAATGCATTTGCAACGTCCACGGCCATGCCTCGTTGGTTTCTATTTTATTCATCAACCATCATTTTATTGGGTGAATTTGATGCTCTGACTTTGATGGTGTTAATGTTCATTTTCAAAAGGTGGTTTGATAATGATTATCTGTTGAAAGGATAACCCTAGCTAATTTCAACCGTTGATGAAAAATACTAATTTTTTTTTATATAATCATCTGTATTGGTTCTATTGATTGATGATTTGATATATATTTGTATCTCACTTTTATGTGATAATGTAGGCCGACAACTTAAGGCAACAAACCCTACACCAACTGCCCCGGATACTAACAGTCCGGCAGGCGGCATGGTGTTTTCTAGTGACCGGCGAATACTACGGACGGTTACGAGCGCTTAGTTCTCTTTGGGCATCCCGTCCATGAGGGTAACGTCTTTTATTATTTTATGAATTTAATATTCGAATTCGGATTTAAAAATATGTTTATATGATGTAGGAGGTTGATGGGTGAGGAACAGTCATGGCAAACAACAGAGTCGCAAATGGTACAACCATCACAGAGCCAATTCTCACACTTTTGATGATTTAATAATGAAAACGATATATGCAGCCATGCAAATTGGACTATATATGTGTTATATATTTCATCAAAGCTGCCTTTTGAGTTTAGAGGAGATGGGACTTTCTTTTCTTTAATTTTTCTAAATTATTTAAATTTATCCTATTATAACAATTGATTAATCGAAACAGTGAAGATGAGTGAAATGACTTGTAAAATTGTGGAAGAACAGAAAGATAACAATTGATTAGTCGCAAAAGGGTTCGTGAGTCGATTACGAGTGGGAAATGATGAGCACCTCCACAACATCCAAAATCGGTACCTAAGCGATTATATGTCATCTAAATATTGAAATTTACAAATTTGAACATACATTTAAATTACGATCCTATTAAAAAAAATTCGAAAAGGGTATTACTTCGTACGGAGAATTCTCAAAAACACACTTCTCGTTAGTTAAGCGTAATTTTATGGGTTACCCATACAAAAGATTGTTACCCTATTTTTAAATAAAAATACATATATTTAGTACACTAAAAATATTCAAATGCAAAAAGGAATATCATTTAGTACAGAAAATCCTCTAAAACACACTCCTAGTTAGTTAAGGCGTACTTCCATAGGTTCCTCTTACAAAGTAATATTACCTTAAAGATATTTACGACCGGATCTAACAAAATATACTTAACACTAAGTGTATATATAATAAAACCAAAAAAATTATAAATAATAAATAGTAAAAGATAAACAACAACAAGTAATATGTATACATAGTATTTTAAATAAAAGCAAAATACGTAGGTATGAAATAAAATATACTGCATGTGTATGTATTAAATATGTTAATTGGCCTAAGTACAATAATGTAAATATGACGAGTCCAAATAAAAGATTGTAAAAATTAAATTAAATGAACAAATATGTGATTGAATAGTAAAAAAGCCAAGTTAATGATTAAAAATGTGAAAATCAGCTAAACTACGGGAGACCTAAGAGGGATTAACCCTAGAAAAGGTGTCCAGAACGCAAATAGACTCCTAGAATAAAAAATCTATTAGTCTCCTCAAAATTCCCAATTTTTCAAATACCCATTAATAAAAAATTCTGATTTATTGACCGACTAATTTAAATTAATTATGGGGTGACTCTCCTAATCTATATTGCTCTATATACAATCGTCAGCATTCAGATCATTGACCTTAATTAAGAATTCTAGTGCATCATCCCACTAAACTAACTGGTTATTAGCTGTGGACAGTGATCTTTGATTGTGGGTTGGGTAGTTTTTCACTGGGGTAAATGAAGTTGGATAATATTATTTAGGGTAACTAATATTTTAACTATTTTTTATATGTCATTTAATGATTATAAAAATTCATTTAATCCATGTCTCAACGTTGTTAGAAAATTAATTGTGGAATGACAAAAAAACACAAATATATAAAATTTAATTATTAGATTGAAAATTATTAAAATATGATGAGTAAAATAAGAGGTAGATTAAAGTTATACGTAAAAAAATTAATTTTACTAGAGCTATTATTACATACGTTATCTTTATAATAAAAATAAATATTATCTTATAAATAGATTCGAGAGATTAGGTTTAAAAATCAAGAGGATAAGTCAAACTCTGTAAATCTCTTGTATTTGTTTTTAGTTTTAGATATCAGTAAAAAAAAAATTCTTCTTTGTGTATTTGTTTTAATATTTTTCATTTAAAATCTTAGTTTCTCGTTTTATTATGCAAGTAATTTATTTGTCTTTATCATGTTACAATATCTGTTAGGCTTAATTAGAAAACAAGTACTCAAATTATACTACTTTCTCTAAATAGTTGTCCAAACTTTCTTTCGATTCATCTTGGAGTCTAACATTACAAACGTAAGCAATTTAGGTGTTTCGGCCATAACGATCGTTAATTATTCCATTAAAAAACATATGTCATGTTTTGGTAATTTTAAAAAAATATTTAAAATTATTATTATTATTATTATATTTAAAAACCCAAAAAAATTGAAAAAACTTTAAAACCCCAAAAAACTTTGAAAACCCTAATTTCAACCCCTGAGCCCACACCGCCCATCACCCTTTGATGATGATGAACTTTTACCCGATGATCGATAACCCCATAAAAAGCCATCGAAACAGGAGCCAATCGAAGAGCAATCGACATGTATTCCCCAACGAACCTCGACGCTACAAATCGCGACCCCGCACGATCTCGATGACTAATAGGCGACAAGGATGATGATGTTTCATTAGGAAGATAGCAAGGACGACCTCGGCGGCGGTGGTCGTGGCTGACAAGAATGACATCGACGGACTAGTGTTGGGGATTTAGGATTTTTAGGGATTTGAGGCTTTTTTAAATTTAAGAGAAATTAGGGTTATTTAAAAAAAAAATAATATCAAAATATGAGACATGTCACCTAACGGAGTTTTTTAATGGACGTTACGATCGGGACACCTAAAGTGGTAACGTTTATAACGTTAGGTATATGAATGAATCGAAAAAAGTTTGAGTACCTATTTAAGAAAAAAAGATATAGTTTAAACACTTATTTTCTAATTAAGCCTATCTTTTATAAATCAATTTGAAAGATTCGATTTTGTTTAACAACATATCCGGAAGCATTCCCCAATTTAGAAGAATATGAAGGAGATTTGGCATGGAGCACTTCCAAACCATTATTTTTTTCAACCTCACCGACTTTCCCGAAACATCAGTTACTATCCCAAACTGTTTCATTCATTTTTGACAAGTGTGCAAGTATCAAAATGCCATGGATTCAGAAATTTAGTAACATTCAGGACAGCTAAAAGCATGGTGAATGAGTTACTGACTGCCAAATGTTGGAAGAAATCATACCTTTCAAGGTTCTGCTCAGGGAAGTATACCTGAGTATTTCCTTCCCTGGAACAAGTAATCATCACACGGTGTCCAATGATAAAGTTTTTCACTTAAGCACACCCATGCTGCATGTTGGGAGATGGGAAGCCGATCCTTCAAAAGTTGTCTCTACACAAGGTATGAATCAATTCAACAATTTCTTTTATATCGTTTTAAATGGATTAATGATCATCCTTACAACATTGTAATTAATAATTAGATTAAATTACGATCTTCGTTCTAAGTTGATCCCTAAACTTTTAAACATTTCAATTTCTTCCTTAAACTATGACTATCATTCTAAGTTAATCCTCAAACATTTGATCATTTCAGTTTCATCCCCAAACTATGATATTCATTCTAAATTATTCCCAAAACTTTTTAAACGTTTCAATTTCATCCCAAATTGTATTATATACTAATCACACCCCTTGTTAATAAAACCGTTAGGCCAAGTTGTATTATTATGTTTTTATAAAAAGTAAATTTTATGTTAAATTTTAGTTGAAACTTATTACACATTTGGATGAATTTGGGGATAAAATTGGAATATTCAAACATTTAGGGACCAATTTAGAATGCCAATCATGGTTTGAAGAGGTAATTGAAATGTTCAAAAGTTTAAGGATTAATTTAGAATGATAGTCATAGTATGGAGATGAAATTAGAATATTCAAAAGCTTAAATACCAATTTGAAATGAGGATCATAGTTAAGGGATATATGATTCAATTAACTCTAATAATTACAATTTTTTGAACTTTTGGTCTTTAAAAGTCCATCAATCACTTTGCATACAAGAAAATTTTGGTCCTTGAGCATTTATAGGTTCACACTTGGAGTAGTTAACAATAATGAATAGTTAGCTTCAATCCCCATCGATGTACATTCATTAAAGATTGAAATGTTTGTTCATGCATTCAAAACTATATATTATATAAAAATAAAAACAAAAAAATCTTGAAATATAGATAATTAAAATTGAGAAAGCATTCATACGGGTAAAATTGTCCCAATAAGTTAATCGGGTAAAAGAATTAGTTTATTTCTAAAATTAATTTGGAATCTACAATAAATGTTAAAGTATATGAAAAACTCGTCACGTACGAGTTCCTATAAAATATAATTTTTTACTAGAATTTTATCATGTCGAGGTGATAAGTTCTAATAAAAAATATATTTTATTAGGACTCGTCACGACGTGACGAGTTCCAAGTCATTGTAGCAAATGTTGTAGATCCTAAATTAATTTTGGAGATGTCTTAATGGACCAATATTTTTAACCGCTTGGCCTATGTGGTCAATTTTGCCGATCCGTACCAATGTATTGATATCTTTAATTTGAGTTAATTGCATCATATGTCCTCAAAGTATGACCCTCATTATAATTTGATCACTAAACTTTTAAATATTCTAATTTTATCTTTAAACTATGACTATCATTCTAAATTAGTCATCAAACTTTTGAATATTTTAATTTCATCCTCAAACTATAACCTTAATTCTAAATTGGTCCCTAAACTTTTTGAACATTCCCATTTCATCCCAAACTATACACATTACTAATCATATGTCTTGTTAATAAAATTGTTATACCAAGTTTTATTATTATATGTAAAAGAATCTTTTTTGGTTAAACTGGTTGAAACTAATTACATATTTGGATGAATTTGGAGATGAAATTGGAATATTCAAAAGTTTAGGGACCAATTTAGAAAGGTAATCAGAATTAAGGGGTGAAATTAGAATGTTCAAAAGTTTAAGGAATAATGTAGAATGAGAATCGTGGTTTAGGATGAAATTAGAATATTCAAAAGTTTAAGGACTAGTTTAAAATAAGAGTTATAATTTGGGAACATATGATGCAATTAACATCTTTGTCGGAACGATCCTTAAGACTTGAGAACGCATCTCAACTTATTTTGGGAAAATATTTGGGTTTTATTTAGAAAATGATTTTGGAGTCGTCATCGATCTTTGAGTTAGATAGGTCGAAAACTACCAAACGTATCTTTAACAATTTTTAGAAAAAAAAATCATTTAAAAGACATAAATTGACTAGAAATTTATCTTAAAAAGTTTATAAGTTATGTCTGGGAAATGGTAAACACCCCCACATTACTCAAAATTAATACATTTCGATTATATATCGTGTAAAATAAATCCAACGTTTCTCAATTTGGACTTTTCAATTCGGGGCTATACAATAGGAGGCCCAAATTTTTTGTCTTTATTGTTATGTGATACATGTGATACATTTATCTTCAATTATTATTTTTATTATTAGATTTTTATGACAAGTCAATGTCATATATAAAATATTTGTCCCATTAACAAATTCATGATTTATCGAATGTATTTTTAAAGAATTATTATTTGTTATATTGTCAGTGTAAAAAGTAATTTTATAAGTATTATTTAGATGATGTTAAATATAGTTTTGAACATATTTAAAAAATAATGGGAAACTAATTATTAAGGGTGTGTAAATTAACATGTAGCTATTAATGTGATTGTTAACGGGTGTAAATGTTATATTTTAAAAGTTAATTAATTTAATTGTGAAGATTAAACGATTTTGATTAATTGAATTAACCGAACTGTTAAAAATAACAATTATGTTATAGAATTTTTATAAATGATTAACAATCAATTTATCGTCATTAAATTATATATATATATATATATATATATATATTCTAAATACAATTCTAATTCTACCTAGATGGGAGAGAAAAGAGAACTTTAGAAGAAGGAATATAAATGTTTATAGTAGGTCTATAACTCATAATCTAAAACAATATAAGAAAACAAAGATAAATAGTCTGATCAACCGGTCAATATACATTACTCAATTATATATATATATATATATAAGTAAAAAAAATAATAATGATTTGTTTTATACGCAAGTATCTCTTGCATTGCACAAGTATACAAACTAAAAATAAATAAATAAATAAATAAATAATTTCAATAATTTTAATTTTTTTATTTAAATGCAATGTGTATAAATTAAAAAAGATTTTAAATATATATTATATTGTAATCGTTTTAGACTATTCAAAAAAATTCTTTATAACTAAAAATAAATAAATAAATAAATAATTTCAATAATTTTAATTTTTTTATTTAAATGAAATATGTATAAATTAAAATATATATATATTCAAAAAAATTAAATTGAAAAACAAACATACTAAACTATGTCAAATTTTAAAAATTATCCCTTTATATGGGCTAAAAGAATAAATTGCAAAAATGTTAAATTTTAAAATTTAAAATTTATTTTTATGAAAAATTCGATTTATAATAATTATATTATTCTAAAATTTTTTCTATAATATATTTCATTTTTAGTAGACATGATTTAAAAATAATTAATATAAACTATCCAAAATAAAAATAAAATCATTATATAAATTTATCAAGCAACTATTTTCTTTTCTATAGACAAAATAGCACACCTTCATATATATTTCAATTTAGGAAATAGATTGCCGGTATTAATCTAAGCAACATATATAAGAATTGCAGAAAAATTAATTGTTCAATCATGTTTAAATCCTCTAATTAATAAAAGAAAAATATCCCATTGACTAGAAATTACTAGATTGTCTAGTAAATGAAAAATTAACAAAAATAAAAATAAAACATGTAGTATTTCTTAATTTATTTATAAATTTAATTTTTATTATAAAATTCTTGATTAAATTGATTATAAGAATTAATTAGATTCATCATTTTTATTTAGTGAAGAGTTATTACAAGTAATTAGGACATTATATAAATAATAACTAAATGATGAAAATGTCAACAACAACCACAACAAAATCTTATTCTCATATGTAATGGGGTAGGGGAGGTAGAGTGATAGGATGTCCCCAACACTAGGTTGAGAGCAGTTTCCGTGGAAGACCTCCGATAGTCAGAAATTTAAAAATAAAGATAAAATATAATGCATGTATAAATAAATAAATAAATAAATAAATAAATAGTTGAACAGTCTTCATATACGCGTCTGTAATAAAAGGTAAACCTTGTAAATAAATCTATGTAATGATGAAAATGTCATTATGCTTAAAGCTTGATTAGCATGAAAGAAGCCAATAAATTAGTTATCAAATAGCAAAATGAGTAGTGACATTGGGTCCAAAGATCATATCAATGTGTAGCGTTCAGTGTGTACTTGTTAGTGTAACATCAATTTCCATCCTTCAAAATTTTGAATTTATCGAAAAGAAGAGAGATTTCATAGGGATAAGGGCCAGGTGGCGGTCCTTTGTGGCTTCGGCTCGTCTACTCAATCTGTTTCGTTACGTGTGAACCAGGAAAGATGTTAGTTCTCTCATTTTTCAATGTTTTCCACATGGGTCACAGGCTCATGGTGTACACTTGTTTTATTCACAACTTAAGATTTTGTGTAATGGGTAAATTTCTAAGATTTTTAGAGATTAAAAATAAATTTTTAATAAAAAAAAATCTAAAAAAATCTAAAATATATACTAACTTTAAATTTTTAAGAAAAAGGATTGTCCCGATCTATCCCTACTTAAATCCACCATGAAGCAACATCCTTCCTTTCAAGTTATTATATTCATACAAATATCTAAGCATATTAAAATAAAGAAACGATATTTGTTTATATTTTATAAAATATTTAATTTTATACTTTTAAGATTGTCGGATAAGTGAAAATAGATTAATGAAATTAACAGTATAAAATGAGAAGATATTTACTAAAAAATAAATAAGAAGATAATCTCAATCGTATCCTAAAAAATATTTAAAACTAAAAATTTTACATCAGATATAAGTGGTGTTAACACTAAAATAAATAATATAGATTATGAATGAGAAATGATTCACTTATATTAATATAGAATTAAATAAATTTTATACACTTTTATATTTTTTATGATAAATAATTTAATGAAAGCTACCAATTTATTAATATAATTATATTTATTTATTATATATATATATATATATACACCCTTTTGAATCAATATAATGCGTTCATAAAGTTGATCTAAAATAATAAATATTTTTAATTTACTTAAAACTTGACATGTATATAATGAATGAATAAAATATAAAAATTCAATCATTGAATTATTATATATTAATTATAAAAAAGTTGTGTGTGTGACCCGACTTAATTTTAATAGTATATTTTTAAAAGAAAATTAAATTTAATACTAATCTTATTTAGAGAGGAAGATATTGAGGATTTTAAGGAAAAGAATAGAGCGTTCCAATGAGTTTAAAACTTATAACTTAAAGGAATATGAGAGAATGAATATAAGTAATCAACTAATTAAATGTGTTTGCTCAATTTTAATAGTAATTACTAAATTTTGATTCAGTTGATATTATTATAATTGTAACATGTAAAACGAAGTAGGTTCGGGCTTGATTATGCATATAATATTATTTTTTCTGATAAATTTTAAATTTAATCATAATCGTATTTAGAGGAGAGAGGAAACTCTAGAGAAAGGAAGATGAATACTCTTAGTGGGTTATAATCTATGACCTAAGAATACATGAGAAAATTAAAAATGAGTAACTTGACCAATCGACCAAATATGTTTGATATGGTATCTTTTAATTTATATAATATTTTTAAATAAGTATATATTATGGTGAAAAAGAAGCAACAAAACTTTGAGTTTGGCTATATATAGGTAGATGTAGATCCTTCATCACAGAGTTGCAAAAGAGAAAAAAAAGAGTGGTGGAGAAAGATGGCTAGCAAACCAGGCATTCTCAGTGATTGGCCATGGCAATCAATGGGCAACTTCAAGGTCCCCTCTTTTATTTCTATCATCCTGATTTTATCAACATACATACCAAGTTCATATGAAATTGTTTTCAAGTAACATTTTTTTTTGCAGTACGCACTTTTGGTTCCGGGGGCAATCTACAGCACCTACATGTTCATAACCTGCAAAGATGAAAAGGAGAGGAACTGGTTCATGTTCTTGATCCTACCGTTTCTTGTGTTTAGACTGATTCACTATCAGCTATGGATCTCCTACTCTCGCTACCGAACCGCCAAAGGCAACAATCGGATTCTCGATAAGAGCATCGACTTCGAACAAGTCGACCGAGAAAGAACCTGGTATTTACTTACATGACCAAGTTTTCAAATTGTGATTATGGCAGCTGATGCATTGAAATTGGCAGGGATGACCAGATACTATTGAATGGACTATTGTTCTACGGGGCAGGCATAGTATTAAAGGATCAATTCAACATGCCCTTCTTTAAAGCCGACGGTACACTAATCATACTGCTTCTCCACTGGGGTCCGGCTGAGTTCCTCTATTACTGGCTGCACAGAGCTTTGCACCACCATTACCTCTATGCTCGCTATCACTCCCATCACCATTCGTCGATTGTCACCGAGCCAAACACATGTAAGACACTCACTTCCTTTACGAAAACTAAACTTTATCAATAGATTAAGGGTTATGTTCCGTTTTGGGCAGCGTTTACGCATCCGATGGTGGAAGTTCTTGCCTATTATGGGCTCCTTTTGATACCAACGTTGGTGTCGGTATATATCGGAAAAGCTAACATCGTCGGATTGTTTACTTACGTTACCGTCATCGATTTCTTGAACAACATGGGGCATTGCAACTTTGAGTTCATCCCCAAATGGGTCTTCACCATCTTCCCTCCTCTCAAATACATCGTCTACACTCCTTCGTAAGTCTATGCTTTACTTCTTTTTCTTTCTTGTTATACAAGTAAATCATGTTACTGCAACTTACAAGCTACGGTCTTTGCCTCTTTGGTATGATAGGTTTCACTCTCTACACCACACTAAATTTCGGACAAATTACAGTCTTTTCTGTCCATTCTATGATTATGCGTACGGCACCGTGGATGTATCGACAGATACAGTGTACGAAACCGCACTGAAAAGAGCCGCGGAGTCACCGGACGTCGTTCATCTCACTCATCTAACCACGCCAGACTCCATTTACCATCTGCCGCTTGGATTCCCTTCATTGTCGTCCAAGCCCCAAGCTTCCAAATGGTACCTCCTCTTCATGTGGCCTGTCACCGTCTGGTCTATGCTCTTGACTTGGGCTTTCGGCCATGCCTTTCTTTCGGAACGAAACGCCTTCAAAAAACTCAAACTTCAAGCTTGGGTCGTTCCCAAATATAACATGCAGGTAAGAAATATAATAAAGGTTTTAAATAGCAGTCCACCGTTGGAATAACAATCATTATATAACCATGAGTGTCATATGAGACCGTTTTAAACTTGTATGGTATACGTTTCTACCTACAGTATTCTTCAAAATGGCAAAGAGAAACTATCAGTAAATTGATTGGTGATGCCATTCAAGAAGCAGATAAGAAAGGAGCTAAGGTGCTGAGTTTAGGCCTTCTGAATCAGGTATGTTCAAATTGTTTATGTTTATTTTTTCCCCAAAAAACTTTATAGATTTAGTGAATGTATCGTTTTAAACTATTCAGCGTGAAGAGTTTAGCAGAAATGTGGAGATTTATATGAAAAACAACCCTCAGCTTAACATCAAGGTTGTAGATGGAAGAAGTTTAGTTGCAGCAATTGTTCTAAACAGCATTCCTAAAGAAACAACACAAGTTCTCCTCAGAGGCAGAATTTCCAAGGATGTTCATGTCTTGGTCCAAGCATTATGTCAAAAGGGTATCAAGGTAACTTTGAAATTCCTTTCAGACAGCCACATACTCGGGAATTTATAAAATATTAAATTCTAGGAATTCAAAAATATATTATCAATAGAAAATACTTAAATTATTCGCTAGTTGTCTCGGTCCATTCCTGCCTGGAGAAATGTATGATGAAAGCATTAAGTTTTGAGAGTTTTGCACTTAAGAATTTATATGTTGAGCAGGCTGTGACAGTGCAAGATGATGAATACAAGGAGCTGTTGAAGTCCAATAACAAGATTGAGAGTAATTTGATTCTTTCCAAAACTTATGATATCAAGGTATTTTAATTATAGATCACAACCCATTTTCCTAGAGTGTTTTTTGTAAGTAAAAGACTATATTTTTGCAGGTATGGTTGGTGGGAGATGGACTGACAGATAAAGAACAGTCAAAGGCACCCAAAGGAACATTATTCATTCCGTTTTCAATCTTCCCGCCGAAGAAAGTCCGAAAAGACTGCTATTACCACTCTACACCAGCTATGATGGCTCCTGCATCGTTGGAGAACATGAACTCTTGTGAGGTTAGTAGTAAATACAATGGTCCAAAAAAATTTATACTTTTTTCAATGAAATGTATATGCAAATTTTTCTATTTTTTATTTCTTTAATATATTTAACTATATTTAATAATTTTACATAAGATCCTCCGTTTATTCTCGTGCAGGACTGGTTGCCGAGAAAGGTGATGAGTGCGAGCCGTGTGGCCGGGATCGTTCATGCCTCGGAAGGGTTCGATGTGAATGAGTGTGGTGGCACCATATTTAGCATCGACAAAGTTTGGGAGGCCAGTCTTGAGAATGGATTTTGCCCCTTGCCAATCCCCAGTTAATAAAATGCAGAATTGCTTATGGGAAATCATGTTGGTGTAGTATTAGTACTAGTACTTATATGTGGGCAGTAACTCTCATCTTGCTCGTGTGTCACCAAGACCCAGCTTTCCTTGTGAAAATGGGAATAAATTATCTTTAATTTATTAAATCTAAATGATCAATTAGTTCAGATTAAATATTATATAAATCTATTATAAAAACGATCTTTTTCAACTTGATTTACTATATTCGTAGTATCACGATTCAAATTCATGACCTTACTTCAAAATCTAATTTTTCATCGATGAAATCGTAGCATATTGGTTATAAAAATGAACTCCCTAAAAGTATCCACACAAATAAATACCCCAATCCGTTAATCTTGAAGACAAATGTATGCGTTAAAACTCTTCTTCAATGCTAGCCAAAAGTGTTGAACCAACAAATGGCTTTGGTGAATCATATTTATTACTTAACAATCAACCAAAGAAAGCTCCTCAAATTATAAACATCCAATCGAATAGCAATTAAGCGAGCCAATGATGATAAAAGGATGAGCTAGGAATTGTCATGCCGTGATCGCTTTTGATTCATCCAAGAGTTTTTCTTTTTAATCTGAGTAGAAAACTTGCCGATACAAATCAATAACTCGAATGATATAGTTTTCAAGAAACAAATTACCGAACAACTAATTAGTCTAGTGAGATAGAACACTGAATTTCTTAATTAAAAGATCACATGTTCAAATCTTAACATTATGAATAAATTGAGAAAATCGTTTTATAATAATTCTCTCCGGAATTCAATACGGATCGATTCCATATATTAGAGACATGGGTTTGCATCCAACAATGGTGCATACTGGAAAAAAAATAAGATTTTTGTGGGATTTAAGAGATGGATGAGCTTCCACTCTATCCTTGATTCAATTCATGATTTTAGAATCATTTCTTTAGTTGTCTCTTTCAAATATAATGATTAAAAATTTCAAAAGTGATTATTATGTGTTTGAGTCGATTCTTATTTTCTAGGTATCAATATCAATACTCTAAATATTAGTATTGATATTCGTTGAACAATACATTCTAAGAATTTGTAAAGTAGATTATCAATACTCTCCATAAATCATAGATACTCATCCTTAAGATATCGATACTTAACATAATCTAAAATTTCCAGTAAAATATTTTTATATTGATGCTCATAATATAGTATTGATACTTATAATATAGTATTGATAACATACATAGAGTATTGTAAAAGTGGCAAACGGGTCATTCGGATCGAATTTGGGTTGGGTCGTTTCGGGTCAGATAATTTCGAGTCTAGATTAAATTCGGTTTAATTTTGTTTGGATCGGATCATATCGAATCTGGTTCGGATCTAGTTCGGGTGTACGGTGAATCGAATCGGGTCAATTTTCGAGTCGGGTGATTATTGGATCGATTGTTTTTCGGTTCGAATCAATATCAGATCGGTTGATTTTTGGATTGGGTCAATATCGAGTAGGATCAATATTGGATCAGTTGATTTTTGGGTCGAGTTAGTACCATATCGGTTAGATTTTGGGTCGAATCAATATCAGATCGGTTGATTTTCGGTTTAGGTCAACCTTTAGATCAAGTCAATTTAGATTGAATTTGTTATGAATCTAATCAAAATTAAGTATACGTAGAATAATTGATATATACTCGTAAAAATATGTGTTCTTATTTGTTAATTTTATCATTTAGGTTTAATTTTAATTTTCAATTGTTCAATATTTTGAATTAAACTATTATTTAGAGATGACAAATCGATAATTTGACACAAATACGATCCTATAATACGTGTTATAATTTGTTATCAAAATTTTTATATTGATCTCGTATGAAAAGTTTATAATAAGAAGTATTTGATAAAGAAATAAAATTTTTATTAAAATTTTTATTTCCAATTATAAATTTAATATTTTTATTGAATTTTAAAAAATAATACATAACTTTATTTGTTAAGTTTTAGTCATAACATAAATAAACTTTATATTATTTCTATTATAAATCTAATATTATTTCATTTATTTTAATTGTTTTCTATTATTTTTTATTATAAATCTAATATTTTTATCACAATTAAGGTAAATAAAATTTATTTATTAGTGTTTTCAATATTTTAATTAGATTCTTACTTTTATATTCTTCTTCAACTTTCTATTATTTTGTTATAAATATAATATTTTTAATAAATTATCAATTTTATTTAAATTAATTTATTATTGAAAATAACTTTTATCGTTTAATAACTTTCCTCAATTTCAATATGTTCAGATTTCTTTCGGGTCGGGATAAATTCGGTTGGAGTTGCTTTCGGATCTGGTTAAAATTTAGTTTGGATTTCTTTCGGTTCGAGTTAATTTCGGTTCGGTTGCTTTTGGTTTGGGTTAATTTCAGTTCTGGTTGATTTCAGTTTCGCTAAATTTTGGATCGAGTATGGTTCGAGTTGAGTATGAGTCGAGTATCGGATCAAATTTAATTATCATGTTCGGGTTAATATCAAATATTGGGTCAGATAAATCGATTCGAGTAATCGAGTTCATGTTAAGTTTGTCAGGAGTATTTGTATTCTTTTATTCCCATAATCAAATATGCTTCCTAAACACCATTTTTTCACATGTAATGACTTTTTTAGTAAGTTTGGAGGATTAAGGCCTAAAATGATTAGAGTACCCATAACTTGTAATCATGAAAGGAATACAATGACTGCGTTTGTTGGAAAATGGACAGGTACAAAAAAAGGTATTGTCTGGAAAAACAAATCGAACATAAATACATCAAAACATTGTTGTGTAATCGCAGACTTGAAAAATAAATTTGTATGATTGGTGTAATCTTGAGGTGGACATAGCACCCAAACAACTTCTATATTGTCTAAAAGCCAAAATTTATGTAACCTCTCATACCGATGCGGTTAACCCGATCCAATCCCTTTTCGTAATTAAATTTCGTTTTTGATGAAATTTCTGTTGATATGTAATCGATGAATTATTGGAAGTTGATTTCAAGATCGAGGGCGTTCGAGTAGAGTTTAAATGGTCGATCGGGATGACACATAAATCGAGGTGTTGAAAATATTTTGATATTTCGATATAACAAATTAAGTTAAATGAATTTTAAGATTTTACAAATGATTTTCTAAGATATATTCGAATTAATTAATCGGATATCAAATTATTACTCCAAGTCTTTCAAGATCAATTTTAATCCTTACTAAATGTGTAAAATTGTGATTTGTACTTAAACTATTTTTGAAACAATTTTCACAAAATATTTTGAACCAAAATCAAGTCAAGTCTTAAATCAATTTTTCAAAGGCATGCACCGATGCATCAATCCATGCATCGATGCACCATTGAATAAATTGAACAGCGAATGCATTTCATGCATCGATGCACTTGGGTTTTATTAAAACATCGAATGCATTTCATGCATCGATGCACAAGCAATGCACCGATGCACTCAGGCTATTTTCAAACATCGAATGCATTTTATGCATTGATGCACACTTGGTGCACCGATGCACTAAGTGTTCCAACGGTCAAAATATTTGAATTTTACACTGATGCACCGATGCACTATAGTCATGCATCGATGCACCGACGCTCCCAACCAGTTTTATTAATTGTTTTCACACAATAACGACTATATTAACTCCACTAATCATCCCCAACGTTCAGAATTATTTGAAGGTGTATTTAAACAAGCTTAGAAGTCATTGATCAATAACAAGAAACATCAAGCAACTAGAATAAAAGAGAAAGCATCAAACCTCAAGTTTGAGCATTTCAAGCCTATTTTTCATTCAATATTCATTTTGCTTTCAAGAACACTACTTGTACTCAATTGTATTCATTCTTGAGTCTTATTTTCTTTGTTCTAGAATTGTGCAAACAATCTACCTTGTGAGGATTTCCTTGTAAGTTTACAAATTTGTATTGTTCTCTTTGGGAGAGAGTGTTCTCACGAATTTGGAGTATAATTCTTGAGGGTTTGTAAAGTTACTCTTTGTCCTCAAAAGAAAGACAAATTAGTGAATTTGTGAAAAATCCTTAGTGTGGATAGCTAAGGTAGTGGACGTAGACTTTGGTTGAGAAAGTCGAACCACTCTAAATCGCTGTGCAATTACTTTCAATTTTTTTCAAAAGCTTCCACCAAATTTTTAATTGCCAATTCACCCCCTCTTGGCCGATTCCGTCAATCAATTAACTCAACAATTGGTATCAGAGCCTCACTCATTTTAAGGTTTAATCGCCTCTTGAGTCGATTCGGGAAGAGTTACATCGATTATCAAGTCATCAATGGCCTCCGCTTCAAATTACGACTCCTGTCTCGATTCGATGCCCGTCAACAAGCCTCATTTCTTCAATTGAGCTAACTATGCCTATTGGAAGAATATGATGATGTACTTTATTCAAGCAAGTGACATGGGAGCATGGAATGCCGTAGAAGAAAGATACATCAAACCTCTCACTCATCCAAGATTGTGGAGTGAAGGAGAGACAAGAATGTTCCAGCTCAACTCCAAAGCCATCCATATCATATTTTGTGCTCTTGGACCAGATGAATACGGAAGAGTTTCATCTTGTACAACCACCAAAGAAATATGGGACAAACTTCAAGTCACTCATGAAGGTACCGATGAGGTAAAGAAATCCAAAATTAGTATTCTAACGCATAGCTATGAAAATTTCAAGATGAAACCAAATGAAGATATCAAAGCTATGACGGATAGATTTTCAACGATTGTCAATGGACTAAAATCATATGGAGAGATCATTTCAAATGAAAAGCTTGTGAGGAAGCTAGTCTACTCCCTTCCAAAATCGTGACAATCAAAGAAGACGGTAATCATATCGAGTCTAAGAACCTAACATCCTTAACTCTTGAAGAACTAATCCGTTCCCTCCTCACTCATGAAATGATGCTTGAAGATGAGTTGGACCTCGATAAAATTGACGAGACACCATAGGAGAAGGAGAAGAAGAAAAACATTGGAGTTGCTCTCAAATCC